CATCCCATTCCCAAAAATCCCATTTAAATTTCCATTTCCCGCCTCGATGCCATTCCCTGAAATCCCAAAAATTCCTGAAATCCCCCCAAATCCCAAAATCTCCGGCTTTTTGGGGAAAAAAAAGGGGTTTTTTGGGATTTTTTGGGACCCTCTGGGATTTTTTGGGACCCTCTGGAGCTCCGGGATATTTTGGGACCCTTTGGGAATTTTTTGGGAACCTCTGGAATTTTTTGGGACCCTCTGGAGGTCCCCAAGGTTCCCTCAGATTTTTTGGGACCCTCTGGAAGTCTGGGATTTTTTGGGACCCTCTGGGATTTTTTGGGACCCTCTGGAGCTCTGGGATTTTTTGGGACCCTCTGGGATTTTTTGGGAACCTCTGGGATTTTTTGGGACCCTCTGGAATTTTTTGGGACCCTCTGGGATTTTTTGGGACCCTCTGTAAAAAGTCTCCACCATCTCCTCATCGCTTTCCCTTCTCCAACTCAATCCCTCCAGGAATATTCCGGGTTGCAAACCCCCAGATTCCCTCTTTACCTCGCGGGATCAACAGATTTGATCCCATTAATTCCCGATTTTCCCGTTTTTTCCCAGGAGGAGGAAGCGGGACGAGGACAGGCACGACATCAACAAGATGAAAGGTTACACCCTTCTGTCCGAGGGTATCGACGAGATGGTCGGGATCATCTACAAACCCAAGACCAAGGAAACTCGGGAAACCTACGAGGTTCTGCTCAGCTTCATCCAGGCGGCCCTGGGGGATCAGGTGAGTCCGGAATCGGCTCCGGAATGCGGGAATTCCGCTCTGGGATGGGGGATTCCAGCCTTGCCTCCCGTTGGGATGGGGCTGTTGTGGGGGTTTGGTTTTGGGTTTTAGGGATTCTGGGATAGCTGCGGGTTTTTTTGGGAATTTCTCACTCTCCTGATTCCAGGAGAAATTAATTAATTAAATTCCGTTTAATTAAATGGAATTTAATTAAATTCTATTAAATTTAATGGGAATTTAATGGGAATTCCTTCCCAAAATTCCCATTAAAGCAGCACATGGAATTCTGGATTGGTTTGGATTGGAAGGAACCTTAAATCCCATCCAGTGCCATCTCCAGCCTGGCCTTGGGCACTTCCAGGGATTCCAGCCCCGGGATATCCTGTGGGGGTTGGGAACTCCCAGAACTCCCAGAATTCCCATTTTTCCCGTGTTTCCAGCCCCGGGATATCCTGTGGGGGTTGGGAACTCCCTGTGCGTTATCCCGGGATATATCACGGGTATCCCAGAATTCCCAGAATTCCCAGAATTCCCATTTTTCCAGCCCTGGGATATCCTGTGCAGGATGGGAACTCCCAGAATTCCCTTTATTCCCGTTTTTCCAGCCCCGGGATATCCTGTGCAGGGTGGGAATTCCCAGAATTCCCAGAATTCCCATTTTT